TTGTGGAATGCCTTAAGTGCTTAATAAATAATAGAGGAAAATTATATTTTAAATATTGATATTTGATAAAATTATAATTCAAAAGTTTATTAAATATTTTATCACAAATTTACCCTTCTAATATTTTAATATTTCTTCAAATATATATTTTTTTTATTCAAATAAATAAAATAAATGAATTCACGTAATCTTATGAAAAATTTCGTATGACCCAAATATATAATAAACAAAAAATATAGCCATATAAATAAATATTAAATAATCTTTGAAAATAAATAGATAAAATTTTATTTTATAAAAAATATAAATCATATTAATTTCTCACTAAATCATTTTGACAATCTTATCATTTTAGATAAAGTGAAGGGGGTACTTTTAAATTTTAAAAAATATATTAGCATACTATAAATATCGAAAAAATTTACTAGACATCAATTTACATTTGAAATCAAATGCATTGAAATCTCAATTCACCTTTTAAATGTATTATCAAATACATCGAAAGTAATATAAAAAAATTTATATTTGTTTATAAAAGTGCATATGCCTTTTTCTTTTTTCTTTCTTTTGGAACTATCACAATCTGTTTTATCTCATGTCATACATTATACACACACCATAATGGTTTTCTTATATTTAGCAATCAAATCATTCTTCTACCATGCACTTCTCGAGGGCAAATGAATGACTTACAACTACAAGATTGAACTTCTCGGTTATTGGTTTGCTATTGGGACATTCTGTGAATCCATTATGGCAAGTCTAAAGGACCACACATGAGGTTATTTTTCTCCCTATCTCTTGTTAATCAATTCTCCACTCATGTTTTTGTTAAACATATCTACTATATAATTTAAATTTCCCAACACAAAATAAAACATATTACATGAGAAAAAAAAATTCATAAATCGATGCATATAGTGAGAAAGATCAATAAAATAAAATTAAAAAAAAACACTTAAACTTTGAGGAAGAGATGAAGACTTTTTTCATCACGGAATCATATTTTATATATAAAAAAAAGAAATACAGAAGGAATTGAATTTCCATTTTAGAGTTTTGTAGGTCATCGCCCTAGAAACTATGAAATTAAAGGAGGAGGGAGTTTAATCATGAAATTAAATTATCAATCTATCCTTCATCAAAATTAAAATATTATATTTTATTACTTTGATTGATGTCGATGAGAGTAGGTTATTCAACATGTACCTCTATCAGTCATCATTGGTCCTCATGCCGAGTTTGATTCACCTACTCTTCATCCATCTGATAAGTTCCCTAGTAAAGACGCCAAGATCTCTCGAGTAATAAAAACATGTCATATGGCAAGTAATCATTTATCTTTGTCAGCATGCAACAAAACACGCTGATCTCTTTCTTACCTTACAAACAAATATCAAATAATTGCACATATATATCTACATTTGTTTATATAAGTATCTACTCATATGCTAGACTCTAGCAAACATGATGTTTTGTTTAAATATGGACTTAGCTAATCATGTGAACTTCAGGATTAAAACAAAATATTTTTTTTTATGCTTGGGGGTCTAATGGTAGTGCTCCATTTCAGACCTTCTCTAATAATTTGTTTTTCCAATAAGCAAAAACTTAGTATTCTTGAGGATTCTTTAGCTCGGGTTCGACATAATATTTATTTGTTAGAATCTAATGATAGTTTAGGAGGATTTAATGATTCTAAGTTCACTTACTTACCTTATGTGCCTTCATAATAAAGCTTCAGCTCTTATTAGACCAATAAATATTAAATGGTGGACAAAAGCTCCAGCTCTTATTAGATCAATAAATATTAAACTGTGGGCTAAATCAAAATTAAACTGTGGGCTAAATGGTGGATCAGTAAAGGTGACCTCAATACTAACTATTACTATCAGCTTATTAGTCAGCGTTATCACTCTAATTATATCACTCATCTTTGGATTAATATATTATTATGACTCTATGAGAGTCCTAATTGAGTTTCATTAAAAGGGGTCATGTAAAATCTACCTAGCCGATCCCTATCAAAGAGACGAAGAGACCGGCTAAGATTAGGATTAGCTTAAAGGTTGCTTCTCAGAGAAGCATTAGGAGTTGGTTAGAAGTAGGAGTCCTATTAGGAGTTAGGGTTCAGAGGCTCTATAAATAGTCATGTATTCATCCTCTTTTCTCAATGAATAGATGAATCTTTTTAGCAGTCTTTGAGTAGCAACCTGGAGGAAGGAACCCCTATAAAGTTCCAAGAATGTCGATCCCCTATGAGATCAATCGTAAGCTTAGAATTCACAAGGGTTCTGTATTGTGCTGAAGATCTTAATCTTTATTGCTAATGAGCTCACCACTTTTTATCATATATTAGCTTCTCGATTCTTAATAGGGTCATTTAGCATACTAGTCAAAATGTTAGAAATAGATTAAGCTTTTGAAAAGCAAACTTCTTATCGTAGGCACAGGGTGTATCACTCTTGTGAACTCTATACTTAATTTGCTTCCTCTGCATATTTTGGAAGTGTTTGCTAGATGTTTGATTCTATCCTTGAAGGTTCTAATTGCATCATTAGACAGTTTCTTTGACATAAAGTTGACCATCATTTGTTATCTTGAGAGATGGTTTTCGCCCCTAAAGCAAGCTATGGGTGATTTAGGTATATGTGATATTCACTTAACTAAATTTGCTTTGCATGCTAAATATATTTTATAATATTTTAACGATATTGATGTTATTTAGGTTGGTATAATCAAGATTAAGTATGGTCACATTGATCGTTGGAATTTATCTATGCATGACAAATAGAATTGTATATAGAGGTTTTTTCTTAAGGCGTTAGAAAAACTTAGATATGGTTTTATGAAATTTATTGGTTTTGGTTCTTCTATTATCATTCTTTCTTTTTGATATTCCTATTAATCTCTAGCATACTTGCAATGATGTTATTATGACACATGAGTCTAATATGGTCTCTAAATTGTTTGGCCCCTCCTTTTTTTGGTAGAATTGTAACTGAAGATGTGTTTATCACTCCCAAGTGTTGAGAATTGATTCTACAGACATGAATGTCATTGGCATAGCTCCTACAAAGTTTTTTTTTTTTTTTTGACAATCCTATTTATTGCATATTTAGGATGTGTGGGATGATGTATATGGCAGCTACCCATTATGCCTAAGAGTAAATGTATTTTGTTGGAAGTTGCTTCATCATCGCCTAATCACATTGTAGTGTTAGGAATTTGTGAGTATGTATTTTTTATAATACTAGTTTAGAATCTGTTGATTAGATGTTCTTTAGATTAATGAAGGTTCACTTTTGTTTGATTCTGAGGCTTCTCGGTGAAGATCTTTTATTGCTATAGCTTGATGAGTCTTATGGGGAGCTTATAATGATGTCGTTTTTAGTAATTTAATATTTATTATTATTATTATATTTTTATAATTATCTCATGCATTCATGCTTACCAATCGTAAGTGTTGGTCATTATCCTTACCAATCAATTTTTGATTAGATCAAATTAAATTATGATAGTTCTTACAATCATGATTATGATAGTAGTATTATCTTCCTTACTTAGACATAATGATCCTTTTTTATATCTTTGGGCTATATGTATTTGAAGAATTGAGATAGTAATTATTCTGCGTCAAAAACTATCTCGGAAGGATTACACTTGGCTTACGAAGATGATTTTCATCCGATTCATATCGAGATAAATTCTATGATAATAATAAATACTATAAATAAATAATTTTCTACATGATAAATTTTGAATATTGTTAGAAATATTTCACATCTAAATGATTGTAATATCTCATATGTATGTAATATGTATATATATAAATATATATGGTATTGTGTAACAACTAATTGGTTGGCTACTGAGATTGTTTTAGAGGAATTTTTATCCTTGAGACTTGCATGTTTTGATTTGTTTTGAAGCGAATGAGATCGTTTCAATCGATTTCATTAATAAAATATTTTAGATGAATTTTTCAATCGATTTCATTACTTTTTCTAGTAATATGCTGAGGTTCTTAATATTGTTTGTTTGTTTGTTGCATTCAACTCCTAAATCTGTTTCATCCCTGCTTTCGACTATAATAACATAGAAAGCAAAATCCTATCCTTCGTATTAAGATATGTTTTCCAGGCATAATAATTTTTTGATGAAGATTATGGAGCCTATGATATAAGTAATTTTGTGGATGTCCATTGACCTGGCTGGATATCCTATGAAACTTGCAGTAACTAACTAACTAACTAACTAACTGATGCTGCTTGTATTTGGACTCTTTTGATGTGTAGTCAGTCAGTCAGTCAACTTTGTTTGAGTCCATACATAATATTAGAAATTTAGAAAAGGGCTCTCGTTGAAGAAAGTCGTTGACTTTGATGTAAGTGAGTTAATAAGTTGCTATCATTCGTTAACAAAAAAAAAAAAAAGGTTGGCTTACCAAACATAAGCCTATATTTTCTATATGGTTTTTTTTTCTTTTTTTTTTTTTTTGTTGATACGCATGAATAATCAATCGTCTGTCGTCCTACTTGCTGTGTTTTGCTCATGCCAAACTCACAACATATACGAGTTTATTTAGATGTTATACTATGATCATTCGAAGGTGGAGAGGGATACTTTGTTCATGTAAGTGCGATAGTGGTCATATGCATGAGCCAAGGTGCGTTCCCATGCCCGGATCTGATCGATCCATCCATCCTTCCATCCTTCCTTCCCTTGTCTCGTGATCGATCCATCCATTTGGATTTATTCCCAACACCAGCCTTGGGATCCTTCCCCTCTGGTTCATCCCGTGGCGTCCCAACCTCCCCACACGTGAATCCCACCTCCCCTGTTCGTTTCTTCCCATCCCTTCCGCCGCGAGGGAAACACCCAACTCCGTACCAACCCGTCCGCACGTCGGCAGGTTGTCGTGGGGCCAGCCACGTTGCGATCCGGATCGTAACCATGGCTGTTTCCCGCCTCGTACGAGACAGGGGATCCGTTACCATAGTCATTCTTCCTCTTCCCTTTCTCCTCTCTCTCTCTGTTTCTCTCCCTCTCCTCTCTCCAAATGTAATCGATCGACAGCGTTCGGCGAGGGAACGCTCTCTTCCCTTTCCCCTTTCCCCCCTACTCCGGTGCGACCGCTCTCCCCTCGCTGCGAAGAATCGAGCAAGGGGAAAGCCAGACCCCCTCCGCCGCTGCTTCGCCTCGATCCGATCTCCTTGTGTTGGGATCCTGATCGTTAATTCGATCGATTCTTCCACGGAGTCTCGACTCCGGGTCGATGTGATACTGAGCATTCTTAGGTTTCTTTTGCGCTCGCTCTGCCGAATTGGCCCAACATGCCCTCATTCCTGTCGAGATGTACTTCCGGGAAGGGGAAGGGGAAGGGGATGGGGATGGGGATGGGCAACGGGGGCGGTGATGGGAGCGGCAGGACGCATGTCTACTTGAACGTCTATGATTTGACGCCGGTGAACAACTATCTCTACTGGTTTGGCCTCGGTGTCTTCCACTCTGGGATTGAAGGTGTCTTAATTCGTCCCGATTTAGCATTATATTTGATTTATTGCTTACATCTTTTGTTTCCTGCAATTCCTATTTCTTCTAATTAGGTTGCTCGGTTTTGGAATTCAACTCTTACTCTTTTTCCTTTTTGGTCTTTTTTGGTGTCATGTCGTTTTTATGATTCATGTACAATTTCTACCGACAATTACATAAATTGAATTACAATTTAGGTTCGACAATTTCCAACAAGTATATTGGTTAATTTGTGACGTAGGATTCTCTGATGACAATGTAATCTTGGATTGGTTTATGCTTAACACTTCCATTTCACAAGGCTAAGAAGATGTGCAGCGTGAACATGTTAAGTTGGTGCGCTGTAGCTAAGGTAAATTATGAATATTATCAATCTGTCAATTCGTATTAATTGACTTTTTTTATTTTCTTGTTGAAAGACTGGGCATGAATTCCCTTGGAACAGTGCTTTCAAAAGCACTAGGCATAAGGCACCAAGGAGTCGAGTCCCTTATCATCTGAGATGGTAGGCATTCACCTAGGTGCTCTTCAGAACAAAACAAGATGCTTACTGCACAAATATTGAGGATAAAGATAATTATTGCAAAAATAATTGGGAGGTAGGGTAGCAGCATGACTTATGGTTTATGGTTGTTGGTTGCTGAGAGTAGAGAGGACAATAAAAGGGAGAGAAGAGGACACTGAGGGTGACGATAGTGGGTGTTGGCGGTTGATACAGGAGAGGAAAAGAGGGTAGAGGGAGATAGGATCCGAGGAAAGAGAGGACAACAATGGTGGAGATGCTAGTACTCACACAGGAGAGTGGAAAAGAAGAAGCAAAAGGAAGAGAGAAGAAGGCGACCACGGAGAACCACCTGTGAGGATTGGGAGAAAGAAGTGGAAGGAAAGAGGGAGGGAAGAGAACAAGAGAGGAGAGATGTAGCTGATGGAGAGACGGAGAGGAGGATACGTGGCCAACGGAGGAAAGTTGGTAGTTCGGATCAGGCTGGAATTGGTTGTGGATAGGCTCCGAGGAAGACCAGAGGGGAAGGGAACTGGGTTTGGATTGGGTCTTGATGGGAACTAGGTTTGGACTCGTGTGAGGGATAATTGAGTTTTGATTTGGCCAAGAGATATTTGGGTTGCTTTGGGCTAGCCCAGGTTTGCACTTTGGACACTTGGTACCGCAAATGAGGTCCTTGCTTGGGCTTGCCTGAGATGTCCAGTACCTCATCTGAGGTGCTCGCCTATATAACATCCAATTAAAGGCCCGTTATCCAGGGAGCCTCACCTCATCTTGTTTGAATGCCTAGGCAAGCAACCAAGTGCCTCTTGACATCACCGTTTTGAATTGCTAGTCTACTTGAACAAGTTGGTTTACTATCACCCCTTCTGCTAAACAATCATTATCACTCCTTACGGAGTCTATTGTAGTTTATATTATTTCTTTTACTACCATTTCTATGGAACTCCAGCATGATCTTGTGTTTATGCTACTATGTTGAACTGCTACTTATGAATTTTTTGCAATCACATTAGCATTAACAAGCTGTTAGAACATGAATCTTGTATTTATTTTGCATAAAACAAATGTTGTTTATTTTCTGAATTTCTCACAATTAGCTTGAACATATAGTTCTAGAGACATCTATCTAGAATGTGGGTTGATAATTAACAAATTATGGGTCTTTGTTACAATGTACACAATTTTAGCTAATACTTTGACAAACCTGACAGGCTTCATGTTGATTTGTTGTCCTGATGGAAATAAGCCATCAGGAGTGTCATAGTTTTGAAATTTTCTTGATTGGTGCAAGTTGCATATAAAACAACGTTTTCCTTTATATCTCCCCAAGAGTCATACTTGATTATGACTTTTTTTATAGCTTGTTGGTTTCATCCTGCTCTGCTGTTCTTGTACCTTCTTCCACTCTATTTTTTAGCAAACATTTACTTTCACTTATAGTTCACGGAATGGAGTATGGATTTGGAGCACATGATTACCCAACTAGTGGAGTCTTTGAGGTAGAACCAAAAAGCTGTCCTGGTTTTATCTTCAGACGTTCTGTGTGGCTGGGCACTACTGATATGTCCCATTCAGAATTCCGCTTATTTATTGAAGATGTGGCTGGAAAATATCATGGTGACATGTATCATTTGATCATCAAGAACTGCAATCATTTTACAGATGAAGTTAGCAGGCATATAACAGGAAAGCCTATTCCAGGATGGGTGAATAGACTTGCCAGATTAGGTTAGTATCTTTCTTGAATCATGTTTTCTGGTTCCAAGGGAATTCAGTATTAATTCATGTGGTGATTTGGAAGTTTCAGGATCATTTTTCAACTGCATTCTCCCTGAAAACATTCAGGTTACTGCAGTCGGACAGTTGCCGCTTCATCCAGCTTACTCTGGTGAGTTTGTAAATCATGGCATATTTTGTAGTTTGATTTTCCTGCTACGACAACAACTCATGCAATAAATGTCGAGATCTTATGACCATCCTAATAGTTGCATCCTAAAAATATAATAGCAAAATGTTAATATACTGAAATATAATAACAAAAAAACAAAAAATGGTTGCATCCTAAAACATTATGCTCTTGAGGGCCTGAGAATAAGATGAAAGGAATAATTTATGAACTTGGCATTTGAAGATTCTTGTGAGGGATAAAGAGGAGGGAAATAGATTTATTTTTCCTTGTTAGCAAAGGAATAAACAAGATGGTAACAAGTTTTGGTAGGATCTATTAGCTAGTTGGTTAGGCATCTTAACTTAATAACCTATTCCTTGTATAAGTTCCAATATAATTCACATTTGTGAAATTATGATGCAACTAGTGCTGTCCGGAACCTTATCCATGAACGAAATGGGATCAAAGTCTAATTTCATCATTCACCTCGGCCAAGTATCAACTATGTTGACTTAATCTTATTGTCCTCTGTTGTTTCATTGCTTCTCCAAGTCATCGTGTATCGGTTACCTCAATAATTTTTTAAAATTATTGCTAATACATCTCATTACTTGGTTCTTTTTCTGGACTTGGTATTTCAAACTGGTGAATATTTTAACCCAGAAAAGTTCATATTCAGTGTCAATTTTGTTGTTTAACCATGCTTATAATATGGAACATATCATTTGATGACCGAGTTACATTCTCGCATGCAAAAAAAAACTTAAATTGCTCTGGCCTACAAACAAGAGTATTTTATTTATTATTGTAGCACATTGTTTGATGACTGAATTATATTCTCACATGCAAAAACACTTAAAAATTGCTCTGACCTAAAAACAAGGGCATGTTATTTTTTATTCTAGCACTATGGAACATGCTTGGTTCAAGGAGTCGGTCATGTGCTTTTTTGGCTATCTTGTGAAACATACAGAAAAGCATTGAATTTAGGATTAAAAACTAGATATATTTTAATGGAGTAGAATTTGGAATCTACAGATTGTTTCTTTGTGTCAGTAAATTTGTTTTGCTGTCCATTCTTTCTCTTGTTGAACTCTCTATTTAACTGTCATTATTTCAAATATGTTGTAGTTTTAATGTGTCTGTTCCACAGAAATGGCTGTAAACATTTGCATAGCTTGGTTTCTCTTTTTCCACAGCACGTAACTCACTATCAAATTTTTAATAATTAAATATTTTCAGAAGATGGATCAGATTCATGTGCATCCTCGTTCGTAGAGGCAAGTGAAGAGGAAGATGCAGATCATCACCTTCTAAAGAAAACAAACAGCGACTTCGCCCATGCAAACGATAAGACACTGAGGCTTGGTAGAGATGTCATGTGACCCCTCTTTTGCCTGCTGCTTAGTCTCTGTGTCTGATGTAACCAAGAAGTTAACATGTACGCTATTGTTTCCAATTAATCCTTCCTTATTGCGTGACTACTCTCTTCCCAAGTCTTCACATCGACTGTATTCCTAACAGTAGCGTTCTTTTGTAATGTATGAAGCGCGGATCGGTGCCTCCTGGTTTTCCTGTAGCATTTTCATGTACGGAACTTGGATTTGACTCGTGCTGCGGCTGTTTTGTTTATCGACTTGTGGCTTCTTTGAGAAGTAATGTTGGTTGGTTGGTTTGTTGGCCTTCTCTCCGATAACATAATGATTGCACAACGACAAAAGGCAAAAGCGTTGTATTATTGTGTTCAAATCAACAACACAAAAACAGCTATGAAATATCATAAATTAAAAAGATAATTCCATAATTCTCCTCCGAAGATGGATCGCATCCTGTGATTCCACTCTAATCTTCTTCCTAACGTCGACACTAAAGAGATCTGATCCATGGTTGGTTTCATAACACATGAGAGTTCACCAGACCAAAACCCTAACACTTTTTCCCTGATAAAAAAAAGTATTAAAAAAAGAAAGAAAGAAAGAAAGAACCAAAAGTCCTGATTGTGACAATATTAATTCATTTATAATTCTTCCCGTTGGCCAATGATTGACTTAGCTTGGATAGAGTTGCAGAGCCATCATCAGGATTAGGATCAAGACGGCACATGAAAACAATGCATCCAATAAGTACATTAAAAATCCAAATATAAATCATGATGAGCTAATATGCATGTTTTTTTGTGCTAGGAATGGGACCAATGTCACGTAAGGGAATAGAACGTATGTGTCCCCGTCTGGTGATAAGCAAGCACGGGATGTAAGTCCATTTTAGGACGTCAAAATGTCGGGAGGGCACCCCAACCTTAACAATCCAATCCATGGAAGGTGTACTTAATGTATGACCACCATGTCATATATTATTTAGACATCGATAAACAAGTAGATAGGTAGCCACAGCAGATGTGAGCCTAACGGGCTAATGTAATTGGAAAGGAGCAGTTGAGCCTCCTCCTCCGTCACTTGCTCTGTCCTTTCCCAGCTTGATTGGCTGTTGGGATGTCAAGCCCTGCAGAAAAGAAGACGAGGAGAGGTATCCTCGATCACTTTCAACAGTCTTTGGGCATGAAACTAAAGGAAGCTTACAAGACACACAGAAATCTCTTGCGACTTACCAGTGTGTCACACGGCATCACCATGATTTCCCTTTCCATTCCGCACCGAATCTCTTGTTTCTCTTGCACCAATCCTTATGATCCATGAGGTCGATACTGCTTAACATTAGCTCCGACGAATGACTTAAATCCATCTCATTTTTGGATTTGAATGGGTTTGGATAGATGCAAGTAGCTGAAGAAACTCAATCTGCTCTCATCCCTACTTAAACATCATCTAATCTCCAGGGACTATAACCAAACAACTTTGTGTCGAATGATTTGGACTTGTGAAATGTATGTTTTTGATGCCTGAGCTCATTCTGCAGACAATATCAGGTCTGAACAGGTGACGCTGCAGTCAAAGAAGATTAGACCCAGTGGAGAGTTTTAGACGAACTTCATATGACGATGCATCTAATCAATGCATCGACGGTTGACGGTAGCTGATTGCTTTAGTTGTATCAATTCCTCTGCTGCAATTCTTCATGTGTCATTTCATTCATGCATCCAACTGTTTTCACCTGAAGCTATCTGCGTGCATTCGTCGTCTTTCTTTCGATCAAAAGCTTAGCATCTTTGCAGACTCGTGAGACGTCAAATTGCGGATGATATGATCTTAGAACAAGACACAGTCTAATTCTCTTCCTCAATGTTATACTTGTGTTCTCCCAACTCTCCTCATCCCCCTCACATGGAACTCTCATGCACTGCAGGTTACGTCGGAGGACCTGTCGATTGATGTAACTACAACATGCAAAGTCAATATGCTTATAGGTCAGAAGACCTTTTCGCCAGTGCAATATGCTTGTCCGTTCCTCGTTGTCTTCTGCTAATAGAAATGGTCACCATATAAAATGGAGGTACACTGACATGGCCACTGTTTCTAAAAAGAGGTTGGGGGATCGTTTTCAGCTTCCATTATGAGCTTTGCGTGGACTCATCTTCCATGGACTTGTCAAGATTCTTTGCTTCCTGATATGTGGTGTAAGAAAGATTGTGAAGGATGCCATTGTGAAAAGGATGAAACTCTTGCAGTTTTAGTTATGGTATTGCGGTAGCAAATTTTTCTTATATTAACTAACATGATGCGTGTAGTGATGTTCTTGGTATAAGGGATGTCATAATCACATAAATTGTGTACAGATCATTGAATTCTTGAAATGAACAAATGCATGCTACACGTATGTTTGGTTATATGGTCTCACAAGTGTTGACATATTTTATTGTACTTGTTGGAATCACTTGTACAAATGTGCATTTACTCGTACCCTACGTTTGAATTTTGAGATTGGGAAGAGTAGATGGAGACGACTGCTTCTTAATTCCTGATTGCAGACAACACCATGATCAGAAAAAATGCATCGCTGAGCATGAGCCCAGTGTTGACTCCTAGTTGTATCCAGAACTATTCTTCTTATATCAAGTGCAAAACAACTTTGATTTTGATTTTTTTACACGAGTATAAATCTGATCACTAGAAGTATATCTGAAGTTTTGCAGTGGTGTACCCAATTGCAACTCTGAATGCAAAGTTCATGACCTGATAAACCATCTGACACTCGAAAACAGTCTCCCTTTGAATTGCAGGAAATGTGAGTGAGCCAACAAAACTAATTGGCACAAGTTTCGTATGTACCCTATTCTTATTGCATGCTTCCCTCAGCCATACCGAGCTGAGGGAAAGTGATTTGTGACCTAAAAGAAGAGCTACATCTCACCTATATGGCCGTCCTTACGTGTTGAGAGAGAGAGAGAGAGAGAGAGAGAGAGCCACCCACAGTATGTGAGCCTCTTGAACACATGATCCCGTAAGCAGTGGTTGAAACATGCAAACAGCAGCTCAGTTAATCGTTGGTTCTATTTGTGATACTGACAAAGCTTGTAAATGCTGGACTGCAATCAAATCCACCATTTCCATCAACATGACAGTGATAAAACTAGACATGCATGACTGTAATGATCAGTTTCCACCATCAAACATGAACCGAAGCTGATTTAAAATCACTTAACTCATGGATAGCGTTCGAAAGCCAAAAAGGCAAGTGCTTAAAGGTTCAGCTCTGATGCAACAGCTACAGTGTGCTCTATCATTTTACTAAAGATGAAGATTTAGATCTTAGTTGCTGTGCATATCGATATCAGATGCGTTGCCTGTCGACGTCTGCAACTCCCAATCAACCTCCACATTGTTTATTCAGAAAAATATTCATTCCTTCGTGGAGATCACACCCCTCCATCTTCCTATTTATACCGTTCGCTCTTCCACGCATCTCTCCACTCCTATCGATCTAGTCTCCATCTTCTTCACCCTGCCGATGGCTCTTCTCCTTCTCTGCCTTCTCCTTATGTTCGGTTCTGTAGCTGCTCAGCCCTCTCCGGGATACTACCCCGGTTCTTTATTCAGGCCTTTAAGATTCTACCAAGGCTACAGTAATCTTTGGGGTCCTCAGCACCAATCAGTCTCCCAAGACCAATACTCCCTAACGATATGGCTTGACAGCAGCTCAGGTTCATCATCCTTGACGCTTCTTATGCTCTCGCATGCATATAGTATCCATTTAGTTGTTTCATACTGTGAGATGAACGAATCGACAGGTAGCGGATTCAAGTCGACTCGCCCATACCGAAACGGCTACTTCGCTGCTTCGATCAAGCTTCAGAGTGGCTATACTGCAGGAGTGAATACGGCCTTCTATGTGAGTGTGGAGGTCGCCAGACTCAACTCTTGACGCTGAAAACGCAAGCCTTTTCTTACTTGGTTCGTCGACCACTTTGGTTGCAGCTGTCGAACAACCAGGCTCATCCGGGGAACCACGACGAAGTCGACATCGAGTTCCTCGGCACCACCTTTGGGAAGCCCTACACTCTCCAGACCAACGTGTACGTTCGGGGCAGCGGCGACGGCAGGCTCATCGGCCGGGAGATGAGGTTCCACCTCTGGTTCGATCCCACCGCCGACTTCCATCGATATGCAATGCTCTGGAACCCCGATGAGATCATGTAATTGCTTGTGCTCACCCGAGCTCATAGAGTTCGTGTCACCTTAGCCATGCAGATGAGAGACGAGGGATGATGCACGGCGTCAGACACTACAAATCTTTCGCACTGATTCCTTGGTCGTTCGTGTTCAGATTCTTCGTGGACGATGTGCCGATAAGAAGGTACGAGAAGAAGACGGAGGCGACGTTCCCCGATCGGCCGATGTGGATGTACGGCTCCATCTGGGATGCGTCGTCATGGGCGACCGAGAACGGCAAGTACAAGGTGGACTACCAGTACCAGCCGTTCGTGGCGAGGTACACCGACTTCAAGATCGGGGGGTGCTCGGCGTTCGCGCCATCCGGTTGCCGGCCGGTGCGGGCCTCGCCGTCTGGCGGCGGCCTCAGCCCGCAGCAGCGCGCGGCCATGGAGTGGGTTCAGAGGAACCACCTGGTCTACGACTACTGCCAGGACTACAGCAGGGACCATTCTCTCACTCCCGAGTGCTGACCAGCTCGTTGGAGATGGTCTTGGTCGTCGTCGTCGTCGTCGTCCTCCCTTCGCGCTGTTTCCATGCTTTTTTAAGTGTTTCTTCCTCCATGGAAGGGGCGCCCTGCTACTGTGTGTCAGTTGCGGAGGCGTTGTGTGGCTGTACTGTGTGATACAATTGGTTTGGGTTGCTTAGACACGAAGAAAGCAACATAAAACATACAACAAAAGAAGCATATGAAAATTCCAGTCTTACATGCTATGTGAGACTGTTTGGTATTTATTGCAGCAGAATAAAAAGATCAAATATTAGTCTGTTTCTGCATACAAAAACATCATCCATGAAGCTTTAGTAGCGAGACACCGAAGAACCGAGGAACTGGATCAAAGCAGGTTTCGTTTCTCTTGCAGATTGCACAAGAGATGAGCATATATCTTCTTCTTCTTCTTCTACTACTACTACTACTTCTATCCCAACAAAATTGTTTTGTGGCTGCCATTCTTTGAAGTTTGTTCCTAAGTGCAATCATCTTCCTTATACATACCATTGTTGTCTATAAAACATGATGGATGGCATTATAATTGCGAGCCCATTAAATATCTCTTAAACAAGTGGTATCAAAGGCATATGATCAAGTTGAATCAGCGCATGTATTCCCAGATCAGGGAATGGACACACAAAAATATTGCCTCGCTCTTTCGATATATTTTACAAGTACAATAAGAGCTAAGGTTGGATTTAGTTTACTACAGAACAAGAATCAAGAAAAAGAATAAAAGGAAAACAGAAATCGGATTTTAATTTTATTTCATTTTATATTGATAGAATGAGTCATTTTTATAGCGCAAAGATCTCAATAAACTTGGCCAGAAAATGTCAACCATTTAATTCAATATCATCGGAGATGGTGATCGAATCATGACAATAATCTCCTTAAATACAGAGATAAGACTGTATACATCGATCAAAGATCTCAGCACTCTCCCTCCGAAGCAATTCTGTGTAATGTTTGCCTAGAGCAACACACAAACATGTATTTGGTTTAGTGCCATTTTGACCTCTTTGTTTGAGAGAGAGAGAGAGAAAGAGAAATAGAAAAAGTATGGTGTATATGTACAGTACAAGTCACACAACCTAAGGAAAAATCCAGCAATAAGCCATCCAATTCCAATAGTTGATCACTCAGCACTCGAGTCTTAAACATGTATAATCACGTCTTTCTTGGCATGAAGACAGAGCATGCGGCATACCGAAGCAGCAGATGATGTAGAATTTAGTACATACTACTTAGTTTGCACACTTGATAAACGAGAACAGGTCCGGAGTGCATGAATTCACAGCAGCGGAATCAAAGAGTAGAATAAGATGAAGACAGATCACGAGTGGATCAAACAGGAAATGGAAGGACACAACATTGATCTGTTGGCTTCGTTCCAGTGGTAGTGCTCAGGATCTGCTCTTGAATGGGATGGCTCTGATGACGATCTGGTGGTAGAAGGCGGCCAGGGCAGCTCCTATGAACGGACCGACCCAGAAGATCCACTGCGACGGCAAGAGGAACATGAAGCTGCATCAGATTCGTGGTAAAAGTTGGCATCGAAAGCCTGAGAGCTCTCTCTGTGTGCGGTATCTCCTACTTACGTGGTCATCCCATGCGTGGTCCTTGTTGTAGATGATGGCAGCTCCCAGGCTCCGAGCGGGGTTGATGCCGGTGCCGGTGATGGGGATGGTCGCCAAGTGAACCAGGAAGACGGCGAATCCGATGGGCAATGGAGCAAGGATCTGTCGCGTGCTCATCGGTTACAAGCAGGAAATGAACACAGGAGCGTGAGTCTCCAAAGACAGACGAGGAGCACTTACGGGGACATGGGAGTCCCTGGCGTTACGCTTGGCATCGGTTGCAGAGAAGACGGTGTAGACGAGGATGAAGGTGCCCACGATCTCGGCGCCCAGGCCGTCACCCTTGGAGTAGCCGGCGGCCACGACGTTGGCTCCGCCGCCGTTGTTCTCGTAGACACCCTTTTGGAATCCCTTGACCACGCCGGCGCCGCAGATGGCGCCCAGGCACTGCATCACCATGTAGAAGATGGCCCTCGTGAGGGAGAGCTTCCTCGCCAGGAACAGCCCGAAGGTCACCGCAGGGTTGATATGGCCACCTGCCCAAGAAACGCGAGGGAAGTTTTTGATGATGATAAAAGCTGAGTGTCAGAACAAGAATCAAAGTAAAAGCGATGGAAATAGCCAAAAATAAGGAGGGATGAGAAAGAGGACCAGAGATGCCGGCGGTGCAGTAGACCAAGGCAAAGATCATGCCTCCAAAGGCCCAGGCAATTCCTTGGATGCCCACGGTGGAGCACTTGCTGCTGGACTTGACCACCCCCATGACAGTGAGGATGGTGATGTAGAGGAAGAGGAAGGTGGCCATGAACTCGGCAATCCCAGCCCTGTAGAAGGACCATGACTTGAGCTCCCCGGGCTCGAACAGAGGCGCCAGTGGTGGCTCCTTGTAGTCCTTCTCCTCGCTCTGAGCTGCTGTCCCAATGGGCTGCCTCTCCGGGAACTTGTTGGCTCCAACCCTCACATCCTCCTCCTTCCCCTCCATCCTCTCTCTCTCTC